CATTTATGCACTAAACAACTTAGCTCAAGCCCAGCTTTCATCATTAGCATTGACACTGCAAAAAAACTTAAACCACCTCAGCTTTGATTCATCTTTCCTAAAGCTACGGTTACAACAACTACAGGATGCAGCAAATACCAATATGTCTATTCTTTCACAGCTTCCGGTCTTCCCAACTATACAAACCTATACACAAACCTGCCAAATGATACTGGCACTACCTGCACTTGAATTGCAAACTTCATGCTATAGAGACAATTGGCCTCTCCCAAAAGAATTCATTGGCACTCCAATAAACCAGATCCTTCTGGACCACCCTAAGGCTTCTTACTTCAAAGAGAAACTAAACAACCACAAAGTCTTTAGTGTCGAACAATTTCTAAATACAACCAACACTGAACTCCTAGAGTGGAATAACTTTCATCACAATATCAAGAAAATACCTAGAGGCCGATGCTCACGTTGGTTTCATACAATTCAAGACCTAATAGCAGGTGCCACAAATTCTTCGTCAATACTTTCACAATTAAACTCTCACACCTTAACTAACTGGACCTATAACAGAAAAAGCTGGATAATCACAAATAAACTTATTATTGAAAAAATACACAACTCACTAAATCAAACATTTAAAACCTGACATTACACCTTACAATCGGATAATACACTAACTGCTTGTCAGGGCTGTAGTCTCAAAAATCATTATTATCATTCCAAATACTGCTACTTTAACACAACAAAACCATTCTACAACCTTCAAGTAGATTGCAAAAAAAAAGATACACATTGATTTAAATAACTTTAAAAAGGCACTAGCTCTCAGCTCGGTCCATACATCCTCTTCTGGTAATTCCAGAACACTTACAACCCTAACTAGACCTCTTTGTGCCTTCACAAACCCTCCTATCTCGCTTTGGGATACACTTGCAAAAATCAATTTTAAGGCAAAAACCCTGACACTAATAATGACAAGTACTTGTCAAACGATAGGGAACAACCAGCACATAGTAGCAAAGTGTCATCTTCAATACAACTATACTCCATTTGGATGCTATACCAACTCTTGGCCTTCACACGTACACACACTACTTACTTTGTTGAATTTCGTTCTTATGACAACAAACCCACAAACATCTATTATGATCCATATAAATAATCTCTCCTTTGCCAACCTAATCAACCTTACACACTCGGTTCAGTCACACAACTATTCTATATTAGATAAACAACAATATGCATATCTACTCTTAATACTAAGAACACTAACTTATGATCAGGAAATTACAGCCACCTTTGATAAAGGCACAAAATTTCAGAAAATCACAAACACCATCTTCTCACTAGACTCTGCACCACAGCAGTTTTTACACAACTATTTCGTTCCAAGACTATTTAACAATCCTTGTATCTACCTATTAAAAAATATACTTAAACAAGTGCACCAAATTAATAATCGACTCGTATGGTTTAACCAACAACGAATCACAACCTGGCATACATCACAAGAAAACATCAATTGGACGCAGACATTACAATATATCACCTATGGTGAAAGACCACTAGCTCTAAATACAGATTCTTCTTCCTCAGCAATAAAAAATTTCAAGGTCAAACTGATCTCGGAAGAACTGCCTGTCTACCTCCTGCTCCATTAGAGAAACACAACAAAATATCCCGATTATCATTGCCCAAGATGCTTTAATGGACCAGAAGACATTACGCATCTGCTAATCTGTATTTAGAATAATCTATGTCTAACAACTCTAATCACACAAGTAGTACAAGAAACTTCTCAGAAATTAGAGATACCTCATCTCGGTTTGGATACCTTCATTTGAAGATTCATCAATCTCCATATTAACAAAAAAATGCCCCTTGGGATAATCACTAATGAAACACTAGCACCCTTTGAGAAGAACAAAGATAAACATAAATACACACTTCTGATTCATCATAATATTGTCTCCGCAATATATAAAAAAGTATGGCTTATATCTAGAGCAACAAAGCACAATCCTATCTTCCCGCCACCTTCTCCACTACAACTTCCCGTTTTACATAAAACTAAACCACTTACACCTACACTTATACATAACAAGCTTAATCAATATATAACACATGGACAGTCTTCTCTTAACTTCCTTATCAAAGACTAGAGGTCTAACAACCATTTTAGCAAAGAATAGGTCGAGAGTAAAGTAGCTCTTACCTCCATCTCCCATAGTATAGTTTTCTCTTCATGTATCTTTATATATATATTTAACTATTAAATAAAAGAGATAGAGGATAGACCTCTCTTTAAAAAAAAAATAAAATAAAATAATATAAAATATAGTTAATAATATTCTGTCTAGTTAAATTAACTATATATAAACTAATTAATTCAATATTTAATTCTTTTTGTTATACAAACTTGATACTTACAAAACTAGTACTTGTAGTAATCACCTTATATTTAATATATCTTAAATATTTTTTAATATATATAGCAAATTATCTTATTTTTATACAAATATTAGCTATCATATATTTAATTACAATACTATACTTTTTAAAATTTTTTTAAGTTTTCTAAATTTCTTACAACCAAACTTTATTAACATCATATATCTATTTTATTTTATTTTTTTTTTTTAATTTTTTTTTTTAAACCTTCGTAATATCACAAGAAGGCGGATTTTATTAGGTATTTAGATAATATATT